TGTATGTATAATGCATTAACAAATAGGGTATAGAGATGATCATGGACGATTTGGTGAATTGTGTTATATTTTATGTTTAAAGTTATATTTTTCCAAGTTGAGAATTAGAGTTCATGCAATTTAGTGTGTTATATTTTAAATGATTATTTGTCATAAAAAAATTATTAAAATAATAAAAAATATATATAAAAATAAAAATAATAGACTTTCAAAATAACATAATCAAACAAAAAAAAATAAAAAATATTATCACGATATAAATGCACAAAAATAAATTTAGTTATTAACGAGTAAAACTGATAATCACTCATTTATGATATAAATCATAAACTACAATCAATGAGAAATATTTATGCGCCCTGTGTCATGAGATTATCGACAAAAAATTATTTTATCTAATTACTCACGATAATATATGTACTTGTCATTAAAAATTATTCAGTTTATTATAAAACATAATGTTCGTAAAATAAACAATACAATTTCGATCCGTAATGGGTTTACATGTTTTTTCACCCTATCGTCTTTAGTATATATATCTAAGAAGATTTCAATTGTAGAAGAAAAAGCTCAACTAAATTCAAATACACTAAACAATTTTGTCAACATTTTTTAAATTATTTCGTAATGGAGAAACAAATGCAAACGATATTCACATTCTTTAAATATATAACACGAATATTTAGTAGCTAATAAAGTGATTAAAGCTTTGTTTTGATAAATTTTAGTGATAGTTAATTAATGTATAGTAATGACAGTAATTGAATGACAATAACATAAGATTATAATGATAATTTTTTTTTACGTTTGGCTGATAGTATATTAATGTATGTTAATGTCAAATTTTTATTTGGATGACAGGATGTTATGGTTGTATTTTTAGCTAAATTACTAATTTACTCCTACATATTATATGTAATAGTAAATAATATAAAAGAAGTGTTTTTATATTAATTTAATAAATTTTTAATTGTCAAAACATATATATAATTAATTAAATTAGATGAAGAGATAATGTGTAGTAACTGAAGAAAGAAAAAAAAAGGAAGGCGGGGGGGAGGGGGAAACAATGTCGTTTTGATGAGGCAGGTAAGGTATAAATAGGAGACGGAAAAACGACGTCGTTTTGATGAGGCATATGAGGTATAAATAGGAGACGGGAAAGAAAAGAAAGGAGGAAAGAAAAGAAAAAGAAAAAAAAAAGGAAAGAAAAGAGAAAACAGAGAAGGGAGAGAGCAGGAAGGAGAAATAAGAAGAAAAGAAGGTTCGAGAAAGAGAGAGAAAGGAGTCAGAGTAGAGAGGAACGATAAGGAAGAGAGAAGAAGAAAGAAGACGGTGACAGTGCGATCAGCGAGAGAAAGGAGATGGAAATGAGAGGTACAGTAATTTTAAGTTTTATCTTAGTTGATGTGGATTTGAGATTTACTGGAGGTGGAGGAGCTGTGGAAACGTGAGTGGAGGAGTATGGAGGAGGTTAAACCGCGGAAGGAGAGAGAGGAAAAAAATGGGGCGTAGAAGGGAGGCCTGTGAGGGCGA